CTCCGTCCATCCCTCCGGAATTGCTGCTCCATGGCAGACTCCTTTGAGGAGAAGGTGGGAGTGTGCCAGGGGGTCCCATCCAGGTGGGTTTGGGAAGCAGTCCCTGACTCAGGGTGAATTCAGGGCCTCATGGGGGGACTCCCCCAGGCACATTTCCCATCCTGGAGGATTTGGGGTGTTCCCATGCCCATGGGGTGTTCCATCCAGAATGCCACAGCCTGGCTGAGGGCACCACTCCAGTGGGAAATCCAACTGGTTCTTTGTTTTTCCTCCCCCAGAATTCCCTGGGGAAAAGAAACCTCCTGGATTTGCCTGGTTTGTGCAGACATTTGCTCCAGAAATGCCCCTGGGCTGGGCCAGGGCTGGATGGGGCCTGGGAATTCTCTCCCTGTGAATCAGTTTTGAGGGATGAAGCACCCCAACTGTGTCCTATCCCATTGTCCAAGTCACTGGGAAAGTGACAAGAAATCCAATAGGGAGAACCCTTGGGCAGCACCTTCATCCCTAAGAAATCAGGTTGGAAAACCCTGGAGTGTCAGGAGCTGGGAATTCTGCAATTCCTGAGTGCAGATCTGAGCACACACTGGGGCTGCCCCACCCCTGAAGTGTCCTAGGGCTGGGGACACCCTGGGAGAGTGGAAGTGTCCCTGTCTGTGCCAGGGTCCCTTCCCACCCAAAATCCCACTCCAGGGATTCTGCCTCCTCAGGGAAGGGCCAGGTGCTCCCTGCAGGGATGGCAGCTCCTGACCTTTGCATTCCCCAAATGAACAGCAGGCAGGCACCTCCCATGACGAATTTAGGACTTTTTAGGCAATTCAGGGTGCCATTTGAAGAACTCCTGGGAGGATGATTTCAGTGTAAGGTGAAGAATCAAACTCCTGCCAAATTCCTCACAACACTCCCTGTCCTTGGCACTCTTGAGGCCCGTGGAATCCTGGGTTTTGGGTACCTCACAAGAAAGACCCTGAGGGTCTGGAGAGAGTCCAGGGATGGGAATGGAGCTGGGGAAGGGCTGGAGCAGCAGGGAAGGGTCTGGAGAGCTCCTGAGGGACCTGGGAGGGCTGAGCCTGGAGAACAGGAGGCTCAGGGGGACCTTCTGGCTCTGCACAAGTCCCTGACAGGAGGGGACAGCCAGGTGGGATTCAGGATCCACTCTCAGGGAACAAGGGAAAAACAACTTCAAATTCCATCAGAGGAGGTTTAAGTTGTATATTTGGAAAAAAATTCAATGGAAAGGGTTGTCCAGCCCTGGCACAGCTGCCCAGGGAGTCCCCACCCCTGGAAGTGCCCAAAACCCTGCGGACGTGACACCTGGGGACAGGGGGTCAGTAGTGACCACAGTGGTAGGGGGTTGATGGATGGACCTGGTGATCTCCAAGGGCTTTTCCAAGCTGAGTGATCCCACAATTCCAACCTGCTCTGAGCTGATTAAGGCATTTCACTGCTGGGTCTCTGTTAGAAGGAGCTGACAGCCCTTCCCTAAATTGCAGCCACCTGGAGCAGGGCTTAAGGAGCTGGAGAATCCTTGGACTGAACATCTTGGGGAGTTTGTGCCTCACCTCAGGAGTGTGTTTGGATCCCAGCAGGGATTTCTGCCCCCCCCCAGTCCCTGGGCACCACTTTGGGTTGGACAGTCCCTGCACAGATCCCCATGGGAGCCTCCAGAGCTCCAGGAAGGCGCTGGGTGCCAGTGGGAGGGAAAGGAGCTCATTTGGCATTCTCCTGTGGGATGCAAATGAGCCCCATAATGAGGGAGGCATTGTCTGCTCCCCTGTGACCGGGCATGGCCCAGCTGCTCTCTCTTATCTGCTCATCTCCAGAGATAAGAGGAACTCCCCAGAGATAAGAGGCAGCTGCAGCTCCCCGACCTTCGGCTGCCTCCCTATTCCTGGTCAGGACCATTTGGGGCACAATTTTGACCTTTTAGTCAAAGCAGAGTTTGGCAGAAGGAGGAAAGGAGGAAATCCCACAGTCATGGAATAGAATATTCCTTCTTTACTAAAGAATCCCTCCCTGTGAGGGTGGGGAGAGCCTGGAATGGATTTCCCCCTGGCTGCCCCATCCCTGGAAGTGTCCACAGCCAGGCTGGATGGGGCTTGGAGCAGCCTGGGACAGTGGGAGGTGTCCCTGCCCATGGCAGGGGTGGGATGGGTGTGTGTGAGCCTGGACAGGAAAAAGTTCCAGGAAGAACTTTGAGCCCCTTCCAGTGTCTTAAGGGACACCAGGGCAGCTGGAGACGAACTTGGGGCAAGGCATGGAGGCAGAGGACAAGGGGAAATGGCTTCCCAGAGGGCAGGGACAGGTGGGATATTGGGAAGGAATTCTTCCCTGTGAGGGTGGGGAGGCCCTGGAATAGATTTCCCTGTGGCTGCCCCTGGATCCCTGGAAGTGCCCAAGGCTGGACAGGGCTTTGAGTGGAAGGTGTCCCTGCCCATGGCAAGGGTGGCACTGGATGATTCTAAAGGTCCCTCCTAACCCATTGTGTGAGGATGAATATCCTGAGTTGGAAGACACCACAGGGATCATCCAATCCAACTCCTGGCCCTGCCCAGAACACCCCAAAATTCCCACCATGTAGCCAGGAGCGTTGTTTTTTGTACAGAGCAGCCTGGTCCAGAAATCACTTTGGGGACAAAGTTCTGGCTTGTGCTAATTTTGTGGAGAATAAACATTCTCTGTTTTCATGGCTGTCACTCCAGCAATGCCATTCCCCGAGTTGTTCTCTGGCAGAGGCTCCTCTCAGACCCTGCTCTCCTTGGAATTTCACTATTCCAGCTTTCCTTTCACCTCTCATTACCAGCTGTGATCCTAAATTCCCAAATCCATCCTTCTGTACACACCAAAGCAGGAATACGTTCCTGGGCATCTCAGGCTGGCTGAGTTAACTCAACCCCACAGGGCTGCTCCCAGCTGAATCTCCCTGGCTATGGACAGACAGAGTGACAGGGACACCTACTTGCTCCGGAAGGCATCCATGGTGCTCAGCACCTTCGCCAGCTCCGACTCCAGGTTCTCCTGCTCGAAGTTGAGCGCCTTCATCTCCTGGTTCATTTTGCTCACATACTGCTCATAGATGGCCTTGATGTCCGAGTCAGAGTGGGAATTGTCCTGGTCCTTCAGGAAGTTCCACCTGGTTGTCAGGATCTTGTTCTGCTGCTCCAAGCTCTGGACCTACGGGAGAAGTTTCAGAGGCGTCAGTGACACTGAGGGCCACAATCAAAGCATGGCAGGGCAGGAGATGTTGGAGACCTTCAGAACCAGCAGATTTCCAGGGAAGAATGAGAAATCCCTTCAAACTAGGCCTGAGGATGGAGGGTTACGGAATCATGGAATGGTTTGGGTTGGAAGGGACCTTAAAGATCACCCAGGTCCATCCCTTGGCATAGGCAGGGACACCTTCCTCTTTTAGGGGACTTCTAGGGGTTTTACACATTACCCACAAATTAATTTCTCAGTAGAACATGGTGACATCAAAATAAACCTGTTCACATTGGGCTAAACACAGTGACATCGGAATAAAGGAGTCACTGACAATAGGAATGGTCAGTTCTGTCCCTTTTGTGTGTGACAATGGGCTACTGGAAACACCTCCAGCGTCACCAGATTCAGGTGTTGAGTCCAACACGGTGAAGCCAAGGCTGCAGATCCACCCCAGGTCACGCAGGGATGTCCAGGGTCAGGGAAGGGCAGATTTCCTACTCCAGAGAGCACAAAGAGAGGGAACCCTCTGGACTGCCAGGGATTACAGCATGGAGAGGTTCAGGGAAATGAATCAGGTTTATTGCAAAGCAGCTCAGACAAAGCTCTGGAGAACATCCCAGGTAATTACAGACTCCAGGTGAGCTCCCTGTGCTGGCTCTGAGAGGACAACGCTGCCCTTCCACCGCCCGCCTTTGAGGAACCTGCTCCTCTTTCCCAATATTCCCAATCTCACCAGTAACACTCCAAGTTTAACAGTTCTCATCTTCAAAGCTCTTGGCCAACTCCAATTAATTGGCTAATTGCTACCTCTGGGAGCAGCCCCAGTCACGTTTTGGCTGGAGATGCTGGAGTTGCCTCCAAGTTTCCTGTGTTGCATTCTGGGATGACTCAGGGCCAGTGCCATACTGGGAGCACTGGGAGCACTGGGGGCAGGAGCCATCAGACCTCCAGCCTTGAGCTGGGGTCCAAAGAAGAGGCAGAATTCCAGCTGCTGACCCAGATGTGGCACCATCTTTCTCCAAATGCTTCCTGTCGGAACAGAGAGAGCAGCCAAGGAAAGCAGAACCATTCCAGTGCTTGGGAGCCTCCAGCAGAAGGGATGGGAGTGTTGGGATGTTCCAGGTCTCACTCTTGGAGACTTCATCCTTCCCTCCTGGGATGAGAATGGGTTGTGTTGGCTGTTGCTCCAGGTCCATCTTCAACCTTTAATTAATTCCTGACCTCCTTCCTAATCCTCAGCTGTTCCTTTTATCTCTCACATTCCTGTTAGAATCATCCCTGCACTCAACTGGTTCCATCTTCCAACATCTGCTTGGAACTGGATGATCCTAAAGGTTCCTCCTGACCCAAACCATTCCATGATTCTGTGATTCCTGTAATGTCTCTCTCAGTGGAAATCCCCCCTTGCTGAGCCTTTGCAGGAGCTTTGCAGAGGGATCACCCAGATTTGGCCTCATTCCCTGGAATTTCATGCCTGAACACACAAGTGGCCAAAGTTTGGTCCCCACAGACCCTCCCCTCTGGGGCTCAAATAGGGGCTCCAGGGCTTGGCTTTCCCCTGCCTTCTTTTCCATCTGTCTGGAAAATAAAAACCAGCAAATCTGTAACAGCTGGAAAAGCTCCAGGACCAAACTCCTGTAGCTGTGTGGTCAATTATCCCTGGAATCACCTGCTGGGGATCGAGAGCATCTGAATCCCTGATTACAAAGCCAGGTTCTCTTTGACAAGGAAGTGCCATTCCCTTCCTCTGGAATGAGGGCCTGGGGCAGGTGCCTGAAGCTGCCACTTGATGCAGCTCTTGAAGCCTTGATGCAGCTCTTGAAGCCTTCAAAGGAGCTCAGGAGCTGCAGTTGGAGACCTGGGCCCAAGGGGTGCTTGTGTCCCTGAGCCCTTGGCCCAGGGGGTGTCCCAGCGCCAGGATCCACACGGATCAGGATCAGGAGGCCGCTGGGTTGGCTTTGTTGGGAAACCTGGAACTCTCAGCTCTTCCCTCCCTGGTGCCAGGGAACAGGCCTGGCTCAGGCACACGGGGTTTTGTGCCTTTCCCTTCCTCCCATCCCTGCTCTGAGGGCCCAGCAAACCCCAACCTCTCCACCTGGACAGTCAAAATTCCAGCCTCTACTCTCTGGGTGCTTCCCAATGCCACAGTTTTGGAAAGGCTCACAGGAGGAGGCTGTACCCATCCATCAGAGCCAGGCTGGGCCCTGCTGACCCTGTCAGGTGTGACTGGCCACAACTGGCCCTCTGCAGATGTTCCTATGGCCTTCTCCTTCCCAGTGTGAATTCAGGTCCTCGCAGAGCTGAAATGAATCAATCCCAGGCTGCTGGAGGCTGGCAGGGAGAGCTGAATGAAGCAATCCCAGAGATTACATCTGTTTACGGAGCAGGGCTCTGCAGGAACCTGCCTGCTCTGGGAGTTGTTTTCCTTGGAGAAACTTCTGCTTCTCCCAGCTCCGCAGAGATGAAAGCAGCTCTTTCTTGGCCTCTCTCCTCAGAAGCTCTGAGGCAGTGGCTGGGGGGTCCCCCGCACTGCCCAGATGGAGGTGGGGATGAGTTCCTGGGGATGAGTTTGCAGGGATGAGTTCCCAGCTCTCTTCAGCAGCCGGAATTGGAGCTGCCGCCATACTCAGCGACACTGCCCGTGGCCGTTTGGCCACTCCGGGAGCCAAGGCCTCCTGTCCATGGTGTCTCCTGCCCACGGTGCCGCCAGGACCCTGCCGGGGCTGCTCTGGGGGTCCCCAGGAGCTGTCCAGGGTGACAGCACAGCCCCGGCCGCGCCTCCCCCAGGGATGCTCCCTAACCCCCATCAGACAGAGAGCTCGGAAGGAATAACTAACTGGGCTAATAACTAATTAGCTGGCTATGCCAGCCTCGCCGAGGTGGTCCCCTAGCCCCTCCCCACCCCAGCCAGGAGCTGTCCCTACCTTCTCGATGAGGGTCACGAACTGGTTGTTGAGCACTTTGATGTCCTCCTTCTCCTGCTGCCGCACGGCCTGGAACTCGGTGTCGATGTCCAGG